CGGGCTTATCCAGGTGGTCCAGGAGAAGGACGAGTCTCTGCAAGAGTATCTAGCCAGAATCAGCCAAGCGATCCTTGGAACAGAGGATCTTCAAATGTCAACAATGGTGACTGCGTTGATGAACGAAACTCAAAATCGGGCCTTCAAAATGTCACTTTCCAAGAACCCTCAGAGTCAATGCACGACCTATTGAAAAAAGGAAGACAAGTATGTTGATGCTGAAAAAACGGAGAAAGTCACAAAATATCTCAGAGAGGGATGGGAAATGGAAAGTCACAAGCGAAAGGTGGGAGACAAGCTGAGATCTGCCAACAAAAATAAGCCAAGGAGTGAGCAAACAGGTAAATGAATCATCCAAGACCGACAAGTCAGGCAAAAACGGGAGGAGCCCAGGACATTCACCCCTTTAAACACCCCACGCGCGAAGCTATTGATAGAGATACGAGACATGAAGAAGCTTGAATGATCGAGACCCATGGCAATGCCACTCGACAAGAGAAACCAAGACAAATACTGTCATTTCCACAAGAATCACGGGCGCGATACGTAAAAGTACCTGCAGTTGAAGGAGGAGATAGAGCGCCTCCTGAGACGAGGGCTCTTGGGCAAATATGTGAAGGACAACCGAGGTAAACAAAAAGTGGAGGACTACCCCTCGCCTAGGGTGGGAGTGATAAACGTGATTGGGGAGGGATAGCAGGAGGCGAAGAGCCTTGAAAAGCCAAAAAAAATTGTCTAAGGCTCTTCACCGCCAGACCACCTCCTGACGATCGACATAACCCACACGCCTAGGCAGAGAGCCTTGAAAAGCCAAAAAATTGTTAAGCACCCCCATCTTATGATAACCCCGGGTGGGAAGAAACCCAAAATTAGGAAGTGAATCCTTACGTTCCCCCCGCGTGCGACTGGAAGGACCCGGCCTAGGAATTGGAGCAACCTCGATAGGCTTGTCTAAGGGTTAGGGAGTCTCTTTTGCTACCTGAGACCTTCCCCCTTAGTCAGCTAAGTTTTTCCTCTTTAAGGGGGGCAGGGGATGACGCAATATCACTTTATTGCCCTTGTTTAGGCATAAAGTCCATGGTTCCCTCCAGGTCAAATCTCATCCCTGTACATGCAAGGTAAGGTACGTTAGGCTCCAAAAACAAAACAATATGAAAACATAAACAAGGAAATGAGGCTTAAGAGTTTACCGTCAATGGGAGCGAGGCCTTTGTCACTTCCTGGCAAGGTCTTCAATACCTCGTCCAGATCGAAGTCCATATCTGTATGCACATGCCCAAACTGATTGGTCCTAAAAAGTAACAAATAAGAAATATGAGCAAGTAAAAAATGATAGGAACCAGCGGAAGCAACCTACCAATAGGACGACTCATCCCCACTATCAACACTTTCCTCATGGTCAGGACCAATCCTAAGTCAGGTGCGAGAGGGGGTATATCAACCAACTGTTAGATTTGAACTTTTAGAGTAAATGAAGCTTCTACTTGACTATTGAAAAGGCGAATTTGAGGATGCCGCCAATTGGCATTGAAAGGAAACCGACCTGTTGAAGGCCAGGCGAAGAAGAACCGAGATTTCCAACTGCTATTCGAATTCCTGAACCTAGAAAATAACTAAAGGACCCTAGTGGTAAAAAAGACAAACGCAATGCACCGAACTAGTTCATGCATCTCAAAGACACACCTAAAGAGGTCTATGAAAAGTAGAATTCTCCTCCTAAGGAAACATACAAGAAATACAAAGCTTTTCTCTAAGCATTGGGGTTTATTTGACTAGAAGCAAGATGAAACTCTTTGAAAATCAAAGCAAAGAAGGGATGAATGGGTAGGCGGAAACCGCCATCCATGATGTCATTATACACCGCTATCTCGCGGGGGTCAGACCCGGGGAGTCTCTCTTTGGAACCGGGGGCTCTATAGACATAGTAATCGACCCGACCATACCTAGCAAGACATTTCTCTAACTTGAACGGGGAGTTGTAAAGGCTATAACCTCTTGGAATCTCGAGAGGGACAATCTCACCAGTCGGATCCCGCCCGATTACTAAGTTTTGATTGGGAAGCTTGCCTCTTGGGAGAATTAGAAACAAATATTTGAGGTTCGGTTGAAGAAGTCCCGTTATTGGAATCACGAATGGATTTATTGGATGAAGGGGGGATTCGCTAGGCAGTCTATCCAAGGAGTCTCTTAGAATAATCAACTAAGGGGGGAGGCTAAAGGCCAGCCAACCTGAAGGCGGGCCGACCCCCGACCATTCGCGAGGCTGGTCGGGGTTCGACCATCCTCGCGGTTGGTCTTTGGCTAGTCGCCAGCAGGTCGATCAGCCCATCGTCGGAATCAACCGACCCTTTCGATGAAGGTTCGATCGACTCATTACATTCCCCGTCACCACTCTCGTTGGAGGAAGAGGTGATGATAGTCTTATAAATTTAAAAAAGAGAGAGAGAGAGAGAGAAAGAAGAGGGGAAAAGCAAAAACTCTAAGTAAAAATCTTGGAATGAAGGAGGAGAATGTTACCTTGAGGAGGAGAAAATCTAGGATGTTGAGAATGAGTGGAAGTGGTTTCAAATAAGAGAACACTCCCCTTTTTATAGGCAAAAGGAATTCAAATTTGGGGGGGGGGGAAGGGAAGGGGAATTCCCTCCAAGACTATGTCCATTGGTTGGGTGCCAAATATATAGTGAAATAACTGCTCGGACTAAATTGTATTACTCGACTTGCTCATTCGAGCTAATTTTATTTATAATAAAAAAATTCAGATAAAGGAAGTTGCTACTCCTCTGTCGAAAAAATATCGACAGGGAGCAAGAGCTAATGATATCAGTTAACATAGGAAACCGCCTCCAAAGATAAGAAATGTAAATCATTGCACGTCAAGGTGAAGCCGTCGACCTCTCGGGACATTCTACCTCCACACGAGACTACCTATCCCCCAGGTGCTCTACCTCTACAAGAGGCCGTCACCTCCCGCGGGGGACTCTACCTTTACGATAGACTGTCGCCTCTCCCCGGGGGCGCTCTACCTTTCCGCAAAACCATCTACCCCCTGGAAGTGACTTATGTGGCCACCCCAACACTTAGTCAAAAATTTCAGGTAAATTGACAAAGCTCCGTGGCGGTTATTATGGGCATAACCTCCAGGCGGAAAGTTATAGATCCCTCAAGAAAACGTGGGTTAGTGGGGAAGCCAACGTGGGACACGTGGCACCACGATCGCCCGGCACTTACCTGATTTCCAACACCTATAAATACCCCCGAAGGCGACACGGGTAAGGGGATTTTGACATTTCTAGCTATCTGAATTCCATCCTTATTTCTCCTAACGCATATACTGATTCTCACGCTGGAGGTAAAACGAAAGAGAAAGCTCCGCCCTCACTTTACATGTTATACACGCTCGCTAGGATAGCAGAAACGCCACCGGCCACCTGGTAGATTATGAGGTATTATTCCACCACCATTTCAATAATTAAATCTTGATCAATGTATGTTATATTCATTTATCATCTTAATATTTGAGATGATTTTTTTTTTCAAAAATTAAAAAAATATCAAGATAATGACTAAAATTGAGAATCCTAATCTTAAGGATTATCCATCTCAACTGCGTCTAGATGGTATTCCATTCTTCAAAAATTTAAATGTTAGAATATTGAACAAAAGATAATGGAATAAAGCAAAAAATTAAGCAAACCAAATTATAACCATCATTTTTCACCAATATACTAATAAAAAAAACTAAATGATTTAACAAATTAAACAACAAAAAAAGAATTGCAGGCAAATATAAAACAAAACAAAAAAGTAATTATAAATTTTTTAATTAAATTGAAATAATTAAAATTAAAAATAAATATTATTTAATGAAAATTGAAAAAATTAAGTTTTACCATAAAATAAAAAGAATTTTAAATCGAATAAAAAATTATTTATAATATGAAGAAAATGAAATTTTAAAACAATTTTAAAAAATATATATAATAAAAACAAAACAAATTAAACAAAAGAAAATTAAAACTAAATAAAGAATATATAAATATTATTTAATTAAAATTGAAAAAAATCCTTCCAAATACTATTAAATCGTTATCAATTCATATAAAAATGTAAGATAATCAAAGTGAAATATCCCAAGTTTCAAGTAGCTTCAAAAAAATTCATGTAATACTGTTTTAAGTCTCTGTAACCACAACAGCATCACATGTTAAAATTGTTCAACGTTTCCATCATTCCCACGGTGTCAATGGAAACTCAAGAAAAGATTGAAAGTATGGATACTAGTCAGTTATTGATTTCAAGAAATATCTCTTTTGAATAAACTTTTGTGGTGTAACATGTATGCGGGACCTCACTTTCCAAATCGGAGAATATTGTGATACATTTTTCATTGTAAGCAATTACGAATCGGCATACTTCACAAAACTCAAAACAAATGAAAAATATTACGATTCATATGGTATTTACATACAGACTGATGATGAATCACCAAACATGTCTGAATATTCTATATTGTCTGTCTGAGAATAGTAAGTAGATGATCTTTTTCTTAACTGAGGTCGTCAAATTCAGGTTAAACATTTTAAACATGCCGGCTTAATCTGTTCGCCCACCTCTCCTTTAACCCAAATGCACACACAATCTGATCTACCAATGAAAAGGAGCCAACAGATGGGGTCGTTTTTAAGCATGAATAGAACAATTTAAAGGGTAGTGCAAGCTAGAGAAATGACTCTCTCTTTGATAAATGCGGTCTCAAAGTTCTGTTTATCTAGTGCATCGGTTCTGATTTTTCAACCAAAAAATCAATTTTTTTATCATTACTTCCATAAGTCAACCGTCATTTTAAATTCTTCTCTCATAAATGAAACCCAAACTTTTCTCTCTCACGGTCCTTTCTATGAGAGAAGAAGTTAAAAATGACGATTGAAATAGTGAAATAACCGTCGAAAAATTAATTTCTTGGAGTTAAAAATTGCTACGAAACTGTGGCGAACAAGCCCTAATACTGTTTTCATATTTTATTTTATAGAAAAAATAAGAACTATGACCTCAACCATTTCATAGTATCCAAGCCAACGAAACCAATTAAAAACAATAACATTGCACAAACAAACAAATGCAAGATTGCAATTGCCTTGTAATGCAAATTAAGAATCCTTCCAGTCTTACAACCCAAACCATTTCCACCTCAAAATTAGATACGGTCACCTGTGGGCCGTCACTAGTGTCTCGATGAACCTCAACCCATCGAACCTCGGCGCAAATTTATTCTTCTCTGATGACGCCACAAGCGAATTTATCGATGCACTCTTCAGAGAAGAAAACGACATCACTGCTTCAGTAACAAAGCTTTAAACAAAAACTAATTACTTTTAAAATCAGGAATTGGTATAATTACAAATGAACGGAACTGTGTATAATGTGAATAAATTGATATTTCCGAACTAAACGAAAATATTTCTGAGAGAAATACCGATGGAAAAACGTAGCATTGTTTGAAATTGGACAATGTTAGAAATCTCCGAGGAATTAAGTAGATCAGGCTAGTAAAAGGTCAAAGAAATCATAAAATTATAAATTAAATTTCCAAAAAAAAAAAACTGAAACGTTTCGCTACACAGATATATGATGGATAAAGAATTACCTGATGGGAGGCAGGGTTGAATGTTACATCACGGCCACCGGTGGCGAATGAGGAAAGCGCGGCCGCGGTGGAAGCGGCAACAACCGACGCGACGAGAGTGCAAGAGCCTTTCATCTAGACAACGTCAGACGACACAAGTTAGAAGCAAGAAGCGTAGATCTGTGAGAATGCAATGGGCGAAACCCGACGATGTGCCTTCCGCCGGATCTCGACCCGCCTCCGTTTTATTACCCTTCTCTCTATCTCAAGATATTTTAACTTCTTCGTTTTAATTTGGGTTTCTTTTCCGGCTTTTATATTAGTAGATTAGGAACAGAATATTGGGCCGAAATATTAGAACACGCTTCCCATATTAGTGGATTTTCGGTGTGTAACTTCAAAATCTTCTAATTCTAATTTAAAAGTGGAAGTCAATTTCATGAAGTTTCAAATTTTTAATTTAAATGAAAGATGTTAGTAGGGAAGTTTCTCTTCTCAAAATCCAAGATAAGAAGTCAAAGCATTTTTCTTTTGAATAAACTTTTCTTTTTAAAAAAATTTTTGATTTTGTTTTTTATGGAGGTAATTTTCTCAAATCGGCCGGTGTAAATTTTGCGCATTATATTTGACATTTCATGATGTGTCAAAATTATGAACATTGAAATTAGAATAATGCTAGATGGACAGGACTACGATACTATGGGGAGAGACACCCAGTTAATAGAGGATCTGGATGGACCGAGCCAACCTGATCCTATTAGTTTAGAATGATTTTTGAAATTAATGTCCATAATTTTGACAAATAAAAAAAAAATTCTAAGCCAATGTTTGAATCTCATTGAATTAAATTTCATTAATTTCTCTTTTATTTTTAACCACAAAATTTTTTGCAAAATAATATTACACGTAAATCAAAAATATTTCTTTCTTTTCAATCATTCATTTAAAAAAAAAAATATTACTGTAATACTCATTTTCATTTTCAAAAAATGGCATCAAACGGGTTTATTTAGTTGCACAAAAGAAGTGTGCAACTAATTTATTCTTTAATCTAACATGCTTGGATTGCTGTGAAAGTAAAAAGAGAATTATTTATTTTATTTTATTTGACCCCCGGTTGCGTAAGCTGGACGCCGCTTAAGTCAGTCCATGTCCCATAATTGTGGTACTGAGATAAAATTAAAAATAGAATTATAGAAAGAGAATTAAGAAATAAAAAATGACGTTTGAATAGTAAAATAACGGTCAAAAAATTGATTTTTAAGGTAAAAAATCAATACCAAACATGGACTTAAATATAAAATATCACACGATTCATTTAACTGAATTTATAAAATATAACCTACTAAATTAGTGTTTTAACACAACTAGTATCAGATGGCATGATTCTTTCATTCTCCCCTACCTTATACTACCCTATGTTGTGACAAAACGTAAGATAACATAATAGTAAGAGTGTGTTTGATTGTCAGTATTTTTCATGAAATTCTCTCATCTACCTATCAATAAAAAATGAACAAATATAATATTTTATAGGTTAATAATTAAATCAATTAAACACATTTAATTGACAATTTTCATATAAATAAGTTCTTGACAATTTAATTGCCTAAAATTATTTTCTTTATATGTAAATTTCGTGATTACAATCAAACAAACTCTAAATATTTATCTAGAAATGTTTTTGTTGGACATCCCATATCACACTCACTCGTGACCATAACATTTCCTGTAGGCGCTTGCCCATATGTTACAAATTGAGATTTCTAAAGTCATTATAAAGTATTGCACGTTGTGGATTAGACCATCATTTTTATTCGTTTCTACAATCAATTATTCTATTTGTACAAATAGATTGACAGATGTATGCCAAGGATCAACCTATCTTTACAAAAATTTTGTACATGTTATATATTTATAGTATAAATATAAAATGTGAAAGAAATAATCAAATTAGATAAAGTGTCAAAGTGGTGAGAAATGTGACATTTGTGTGGGACGTCAGGGGTTCGAATCACTCCCCACACAGATATTAAAATGTCTTGATTGGGGCCTTGGACTCTTGGGCTTCCTTGATTAAAATAAATATTTTTTTTCTTTATTATTTAATGGGTAAAACTAGCCAATATTTTATGACTGTTTGTTTTTGTAACAACCCACTAACTGTCATTAAAACACCCACTACTCAGTCATTAAAATTCTGCATTAACATGGTGAACACTGCTATTACCATCTTGCCTATATAAACCCATATCTCGTTTTGGGAAAAGACACACAAAAAGAAAATAGAAAAATCATCTTGCATCAATCACTTTTTTCATATTGTGAATTTCTTATATTCTGGTTTTTATATCTATTTTGGAGTACAATTGAGAGTTCTAGAAAAACCATTCGTGATTGTTGCACAAGTGATTTACGATCGTTGTATCTTGGGAGTGATTGTTCACTGAGGTCGCAGCAATTATTGACGGGTAATTTCACTTTAGGACATCGTGCTGTCACGAGACTTGATCGGACGATAAGTTTTATATTTCTGCATTATATTGTTCAGATCACTACTGCAACTAATTATTTTTTCCAACAATCTAAAGTGAAATTATCTTTATAATTAGTTGCCATGTCTGCTGTAGAGATATCTGTTCCTAAGTATTCTGAAAAGTCTGAGTTGTTTGATGGAAAGAATTTTAAGAGATGGCAAATGAAACTGCGATTTTATTTGACAACACTTAAAGTCGTTGATACTATTGAATCAGATAAACCCGGTTTTACAATTGCTGATAATCCTACTGATAAGGAAACCGAGGATTTAGTTAATTGGAAACATAAGGATTATATGTGCAGAAATTATATTCTGAATTGTTTGACTTTAGATTTGTATGATGTTTACTACTCGTGTAAATCTGCAAAAGAGTTATGGAATTCATTAGAAAAGAAATATGCTACAGAAGATGCTGGAACCAAGAAATTTGTTGTGGGAAAGTTTTTAGATTTTAAAATGAATGATGTTAGAACTGTGGTTAGTCAGGTTGAAGAATTGCAAATTATAATTCACGAAATTATTGCTGAAGGATATAAAATCTGTGAGGGCTTTCAAGTGTCAGCTATAATTGAAAAATTGCCACCTTCTTGGAAAGAGTATAAAAATAGTTTGAAGCATAAGAGAAAAGAAATGTCCTTAGAGGATCTGATTATCAGGATTAGAATCGAGGAGGACAATAGAATGGCAGAACGTAAGGAAAGGCCAGATTTTGATACTAAGGCTAATCTTATTGAAGGAAGTTCTGGGACTAAGAAACCAATTGAAAATTTTACAAGGGGTCAGAACTTTAAAGGCAGAAATAAGGGAAAACAATTTGTAGGAAAGAACAATCGGTCTAAGCCCCAATTTAAAAATAAAATTGTTGGTGACTGTTTTGTTTGTGGTAAACCAGGTCACTTTGCAAAGGATTGCAGAAATAGGAAAGGAAAAGCTGTGAAGCATCATGCACATGTGGTAGAGGATGGGAATTTCTTTGCTATGGTGACAGAAGTGAATCTAGTAACCAACATGACAGACTGGTGGGTAGATTCTGGAGCTACCAAGCATATTTGCTGCACGAGAGGTGCATTTTCTTCATTCACTCCCGCTAGTGATGGAGAATGTCTGTTCATGGGCAATGCTTCCTCCTCCAAAATAGAGGGGAAAGGAACTGTAACGCTTAGATTTACTTCTGGAAATATCCTTAATTTGAAGGATGTTCTTTATGTACCTGATATTAGGAAAAATCTAGTGTCTGGATCTATCTTAGTCAAAAAGGGTTTTAAGATTGTATTTGAAAGTGGTCAAGTTGTACTGTCTAAGGGTGGTTCCTTTGTTGGGAAAGGGTATGCAGATGAGAGTCTGTTTAAACTCAATGTCTCTGTGATTAACAATAAAGCATCTAGCTCTTCCGTTTACTTGTTGGATTCTTATGATTTGTGGTATGCTAGACTTGGATACATTAATAAAACTTCTATTAAAAAATTAATGACTTTGAGAAATATTCTCAAAATCGATAATTGTCCAAATTCAAAATGTGAAACGTGTGTTGAATCTAAATATTCTAGAAAATCATTTCCTCGTGTTGATAGGACTACTTCGGTCTTAAGTTTGATACATTCTGATTTATGTGACTTAAAAGGACATGTTACTCGTGGTGGAAATAAATATTTCTTAACTTTCATTGATGATTATTCTCGATATTGTTATATTTATCTACTTAAGAGTAAGGATGAAAGCTATTCAAAATTTATTTCCTATAAAACTGAAGTAGAAAATCAGCTAGACAAAACTATTAAAGTTTTAAGATCTGATAGGGGAGGAGAATATACAGGAGATTTTGATAAATTTTGTGTTGAGAATGGTATTATTCATGAGACTACTCCCCCTTATTCTCCCCAATCTAATGGTGTAACTGAAAGGAAAAATCGAACCCTTAAGGATCTGGTCATATCAATGCTAAGCTCTTCTAGATTACCTTTTAACATGTGGGGGGAAGCACTTCTTACTGTATGTTATATTCTTAACAGAATTCCTAGTAAGAAAAATAATAAGTCTCCTTATGAAATGTGGGAGGGCAAAATACCTTCATATAAATATCTTAAAGTGTGGGGGTGTTTAGCTAAAGCTTCTATTCCAGCACCTAAGAGAAATAAACTTGGTCCGAAAACTGTTGATTGTGTTTTTATAGGCTATGCTTTTCATAGTAATGCCTACAGATTTTTAGTCATTGACTCTAAAAATAATTTGATTGAAAAGAACACAATATTTGAAACTAGAGATGCTGATTTTTTGAAAATAGATTTCCGTTTAAAGAAAAATCTGAAGGATCAAGCAGTTCTTTTAGTATTCCTCCTAGTGTTAGAGAGGAGCCATCTGAATTAGAAGAAGCTGAAATTAGGAGAAGCAAAAGACCTAGGACCACTACTTCTTTCGGTCCTGACTTTATAACCTACTTAGTAGAGGATGATCCTAGTACTTTTGGTGAAGCTATGTTTTCACCAGATTCTATATTTTGGAAGGAAGTTATAAATAGTGAATATGATTCAATTATGTCTAATAATACTTGGGAGTTGGTGGATTTACCTCAAGGATGTAAGACAATTGGGTGCAGATGGTTGTTTAAGAAAAAACTTAAACCTGATGGTTCAATTGATAAGTATAAAGCAAAACTTGTAACTAAAGGCTATAAACAAAAGGAAGGAGTTGACTTCTTTGATACTTATTCACCCGTTACTAGGATTACCTCTATTAGGATGTTAATTGCAATTGCCTCACTGTATGATCTTACT